TTGCATCTAGATGACTGCTTGTAAGCTTTTAAGATCCCAGTTGCTACTTGCCAAAGTAGGAGGTGGAACAGTGTTTTGTGTAGTATGTTATGCCAATTGAGCTTAATGTCCCCTGCGACTATGGTCCCAAGACCACAGGTTCAACTACTTGGTCCCTCTGGGTAGCTGGCTGTGACCAAGAAGTGAGTACAACCTTGTCCCTTGTCAGCTCTACTATACACCTGCAGCAGGATTTTGCCTTTGTGGTTGGGCTGCTGGGTAGCCTGTTGATGGCTCTGGTGGGAGTGATGGGTCCTTGTATAATTTCCAAGTGTCAAGTACACAGATAGACACACACACTACAAAGGAACTGAAGCCAGGAGGCTATCAACAACGTTCCATGGGCATCTGGGTCTGGTTTGGATGGAGAACACTTCCCTGTCCTCAGTGACTACTCTGAGCAGAGATGGTAAGTCCGATGGGACCAAGTGAGTCTCAGCCATGGTGCTTGTTATTGGGTACAGTCAAGTCAGCTCCCAAGTCGTGGTAGCCCTACATGTTAAGGAGTAGAACCGTTCCGTGGGGTTGGCTTGGCTGTCATCCTTATGGATGCGGTTCACAAGGCTTTCTTCAGCAGAGCTGCTGAGTGGATTTGAATCCTAGGCCTTTGGGTGAGGAGCGGATTGCCAACTGCTTGCGCCACCCAGCCTCCTCAGTGCCATACTGCAGAGCAGTACAGACACTAACACTCAGTATGGTACGACAGGGGGCGTGGTGGAGGCCAATATCATGGCATAGGTGGTATGCGGTGGCATCAGAATTTTCTTGGCTTGTGGGACAGTTGCTTGAGGAAACGATATGGGTGTTGGGGAGGGAGTCCCTGTGTCATTTTCTCGTTGGAGAGGAAGTAGCAACGACGAGAGCCCAGGATCTGCGCTCACGGGAGGCACCTGGAGAGCAGGGTGGGTGGGAGTTGGGGGAGATGGTCTCATTTTGATGGGGCCCTGGAGACTCAGCTGGCACCTTGAGGTGGATGCTCGTGGAACTTGTCATTGACTATCACTGAGTCACGATGACCCTGTGCACCGTGGAGCAAAGCGCTGCCCGGTCCTGCACAATCCCCACGATGGGCAGATTCGACTTTTGTGACCCGTAGAGTTTTCACTGGCTGATTCTCACAGGATCGCCAGGCCTTTCTTCCTAGTCTGTCTTAGCCTGGATGCTCTGCTGGAAACCTGTCCAGTATCCTAGCAACACACAAGCCTCCACTGACGGACAAGTCAAAGAGCGTGATCCTAATTGCTGGTCCTCCCCACATCCCCTGAGTGGCTAGGAGTTTGCAAGAGGGTTTCAGCAGGAGCCGTGTGGGGCTTACTTTGCTCAGGCCCTGATTCATTTGCAAGGAGCTCTGTTGGTGCTGTGCTTAAAGCAATGGGCTCCTAAAGAGAATGGCCCCCTCACCACTCCGCGGGAGGAAGATGAGGCAGTCTGCTTCTGTAAAGATTGACGGCCTTGGAAACCCTAGGGGGCAGTTCCACTCTGTCCTCTGGAGTCGCTGTGAGTCAGGACTGACTTGATGGCAGTCGGTGGGTTAATTTATCAGCAGCTGAAGATGGCAGCCGTGGCGCGTCTGTGGCCAGCTGGCCGTGGAGCAGGTCTTTACGGGGGGCCTCCCTCCCTCCTTCCCACACACCTGTTCTACTACCAGTGTTTCCCAAAGCAGCTCCAAAATAAAAGGCTTGTCTCGGGTTTGCTGTTTTTGGGACCGAGGCTCCCTTTGGGGTCAGGTTGGGCACGTCAGCTCCATGGGCGTACAGGTGAAGATGACAGCCCCAAGACCCCAGCAATGCAGAGTTGTGTCTACCTTCCCATGGTCCCCATGTGGTATGCACCATCTTAGCTTCTAGATTCCTTAGTTCCACAGCTGAGTGGTGAGAGTTCTGTTCTTAGACTCGTGGAAACAGAGCCCCTGCCTTCTTCCTTTCTTT